TCAAAAAAAAAAAAAAAAGAAGAGAATGGAGAAGAAGGGATTGCAGCTTCTTCATCCCCCTGGGGGATGATTTCTTGCTTTCTGTCTCTCTCTGCCTTTCTGGCAAGTACACACACGCTATAGCAAAAACCTCTCAAAAAAAAAAAAAATTAAATGAAAAAAAATTTTAATTATGGAAAGTAAAATAATAAAGCATGAAGAAAAACAAGAAAAATATCTTTTGACCTTGGAATAGGAAATGACTTCTAAAATAAGACACAAAAAGTACTAATCATAAAAAATTGATGTATTCATCTACATTAAAATTAAAAACTTTCATTCATCAAAAGAAACTTCGGGGATCAGCAGTTAGCGTAATGGCTATGTCACTGGACTCCCATGTAGTCGACCGTGGTTCGAGTCCCGGACCCGGTGGCTTAAACTCACGCCGGGTCTGTGTGTGTGCGTGCCCAAGATCCTGGGAGGAGAATGGAGGAGGAGGGATTGCGGCGTGGCCATCCCCACTTGGGGGGTGATTTCTTGCTTCCTATCTCGCTGTCTCTCTCTGTCTGGCGAGCGCACGCGCCTTACAGCAAAAACCTCTCCAATAAATAAATAAATAAATAAAAAAGAAATTCAAAGAAATTAGGCAACTCCCAAAATGAGAAAGTATTTGTGTTGTGTCTATGTGTATCTAAGAAACTAACTTTTTTTTGAGTTTTTGTTTTGTTTTGTTTTGCTATAGGGCGCATGCACTTGGAGAGAAAGTGAGAACTTGCCCTCTCACTCCCAGGGAGATGGCCATGCACCAATCCCTACTCCTCCATTCTCCTCCCAGGATTTTGGGCACACATGCTCAGCATGAGTTTCAAGCTGCCAAGTCCAAGACTTGAACTGCGCATACCATGTGGAAGTCCAGCACCTCAACCACTACTATACCTGCTGACCTTGTTTGGAACTAACTCTTTTTTTTTTTTTTTTTGGTAAAACCAGGCCACTTTAATATTTTGTACAATTTAAATAAATTAATCTTTTGATGACTGCAGACATGTAAGACCAGCTGTATTCAGAAACATCAGGCATGGTGGACTTCCAGGTTGGTGTATCATCTTCAAAAATTACAAGGAGGAAAAAAAAAAAAAAAATTAAAAGGAGGGATTTGTATGCAGCCGCCATCA